GCACCTGGACTAGCCCATTTCTAGTAATGTGTGTAAGCACCCCAAGGTGCGCTTACCGGGAAGATTCTAGCCTAAGTCCATCGTGGGTTGGAGCTGCCTGGGAGAGCAGAGCATGGCGGCTGTCCGGTCCCTCTGGAAGCAGCGCAGAGTCTGACCTCACTTCCTCTTCCCGCCCAGAATTCTATTCTGTTTACTCCTCCCATCTATGTTCTAAGCTATGAGGCCAAGCAGTTGGTTTATTATAATTAACCAATAACCTTCCTCCATCAGCAACAGATCTCATTATAAGTACCTGGGAGGCACCATGTGGTTGTTGGGAAGGAATTGAACTCATGATCTCTGGAAGAATGGCTAGTGCTCTTAACTTCTGAGCCATCTCTCTAGCCCTGAAACCATTTTTATAAACAAATGTATTATGACTTTGAGAATGATTTTGCCATTTTAAGTTGTTATTTTGGATCAAGGAAGACTAGCTGTTCCTAAGTTAAGATTTCTGCAGTGGAGACCGTATGACTTTATTTTCTGCCTATGTCTGAAGTCTTTTCTTGACATAATTAGAGGGACATTAGTTTTATTGATTGCATTTACTTTTATTTCTTACAATTGAATGAAAATGTTTTCCATTTTTGCTTTTCCTTTTAGCGGTGCAAATTATCCCAGCATCAGTGCAGTCTGCTACACCAACTACGATCAAAGTTATAAACAGTAGTGCAAAGGCAGCCAAAGTGCAGAGGTCCCCAAGGATTTCGGGAGAAGATAGAAGCTCACCTGGAAATAGAACAGGTATTTTTGCATGGATTGAAATTATAAAACTTGTCAAGGTAGACATATAAAAGTGTAAATATGGACTATCTCTCTGGCAAGTGTGTATGTAGTTAATAGTTCTAAAATGAGAAGTTTATTTTTGCCTTGGCTCAGATTGAACTGGAGGACTTGTGCACTTCCTCTGTCTTGTGGTAGATTCTAATGTGATGACCTGTGTTTATGCTTATGGATTTAGGAAACAATGGTCAGATTCAACTGTGGCAGTTTTTGTTAGAACTTCTCACTGACAAGGATGCTCGAGACTGTATTTCTTGGGTTGGTGATGAAGGCGAATTTAAGCTAAATCAACCTGAATTGGTTGCGCAGAAATGGGGACAGCGTAAAAACAAGCCTACAATGAACTATGAGAAACTCAGCCGTGCGTTACGGTAAGCATTTATGTTATTTGTTTTCCCCCAGTACCAGACTCACCTAAAATGGAGCTTCTTGTTCTTGATATAAAACCTGTTAAGTAATAAAAATAAAATCCTTTTTCTTAAGATAGTGGATTTGAACCAAGCGGTGGTGGTGCACGCCTTTAGTCCCAGCTCTTGGGAGGCAGAAGTAGGTGCATCTGTGAATTCAAGGCCAGCCCAGTCTTCAGAGTTCCAGGACAGCCAAGGCTACACATAGAAACACTTCTTAAAAAACCAAAAAGAAAGAAAGGGGGGGGGGTGCAAGTGTGCTTGGTTGGTTAATGGATAGCTCTGTGGATAAAGGTGTTCACCTCAAGCCTGAGCAGCCAAGTTCCCTCTAGATTTATACAGTAGGAGAAAAGAGCCAGCTTCTGACACTCATACACATGTGAATATAGAATTGTCGCACGTGTCTCCTTGGAAGATAATAATTAGCAGTCGAGGTCTCACTCAGACATTGTTGTCAATGTACTTAGTCGGATTCCTTGTTGGTAACCCACATATCACAGAACAGTGGTGTTAATATCCTGTCCTATAAAACCAGTTCCTTGAAGCATATACAACTTGTTACAGTAATTTTGGGTAGTATTGACTATGAATAGCCATACTTGAGAGATTATATTTAATAGGCATTGAATTCTGTTTCCCATTCAAGTAGAATTCCTTGTACTACCACAGTATAATTGTTAATCACTCTTCTCTTTTCCATTGGCTGAGCAGAACCTCAGTTGTCATAAGGACCAGGTTGCCAAGATTGATTAACCACTAGAGGAATATCTCCCCAACTCTCTGCTAGGTTAATTGGAGGATTGGGGATATAGGCCCAGTAATTATGATCCATTCCTTTTACCTGCACTGTTACCATGGAAAGCATGGCAAGAAATATAAGCTTGTAGAATTTAGAGGCTTGTGATCATGCCAAGTATCACCTCTCTTTCGTCACACAAGTTCTTAAGCTGTCCCCAGATGGGAGGGTTAGTTGTTTGATCTCTGCATCTTCAGCATCTGGGAGATATCTCAATTTTTTAAAACTAGAACTTTTGTGCATTATGTTAAAAATTACTTTTTAAAGAGTTTTCTGGTAATTTTGAGGCACATAAAGATTTTTTTTAAAAATTATAAGATACTTTGTTTTATATACTGTTCAAAACTAACCTGCTTATTAATCTATAATATTTTTATACTTTGTACTACAGAGATGCTATTTACATACTAAATTGAGTGTGTATTGTATCAAATATATGAATACTATCTTCTGTTATATGCATAGTTTTATCCTTTTACATCTGCATAAATCTGAATATCTCAAAGTGAAAATTGGAATTATTTTCCTTAAATACTATGAATACTCTAAATGGAAAGACCTCAACTACCTTGAGTTGGTGAGATTATGGGAGTGCTTCCACCCTTGGCCAGAGATGTACCCTGTTAAGTTACTAAGTAACTTTTCTTAGTCGATGACAAACAGAAATGTCTGAATGTTCACACACATACTCTAATATTCTAAGTCAGAATTCACCCATGTATCCACCAACAGAAGAATAAGTAAGCTAGTTGTGATACATTTGAGTATTAAAGATGAATGGCTGCCACAAATGGTGATATCCTGATGTTCAGGAAGGGGTCTGGGTCCAAAGGACCATATGGAAAATATACATGTTATGTGTGTGTGTGTGTGTGTGTGCGCGCGTGTGCGTGTGCATGCGCGCAAGTGTGCGTGCATTCACTTAATATAGTTTGATAAACTAGGAAAAGCAAACACAGCATTTATGAATCTGCTTTTCAGAAACAAAATACAAAGCAGAGCAATGGAATTAGTGTCTTGGAGCAAGCTTGAGGTTAATCTTTAGAGCATGGATGGTTGGGAAGGAACAGAGGAGGCTCTAGGTATTGACAGACTCCATTATTAGACCTGTGTTGTAATAGGAGCAGTGGGGCTGCGTCCCCAGCACCCCGGCCGCCTGGCTAGCTTACGCCCCAAAATAACACACAAATTGTATTCTTTTAAACACTGTTTGGCCCATTAACTCTAGCCCTTACAGGCTAATTCTCATATCCCGATCAACCCATCTCTAATAAACTATGTAGCGCCGGTCTTACCGGGGAAAGATTCAGCCTACATCCATCCTGGGTCGGAGCTGTCTGGGAGAGAGAAGCCTGGCATCTCTGTCTGAGGTGTCTGCCCCAGAGCAGAGAGCTATCGAGTCTGAGCTCACTTCCTCTTTCTCCCAGCATTTTGTTCTGTTTACTCCTCCCACCTATGTTTTTAACCTATCAGGGCCAAGCAGTTTCTGGATTACTTAACCAATGAAATCAACAGATCGATATATGACACTCCCACATCACTTCCCCTTTTTCTGTTTAAACAAAAAAAAGGGAAGGCTTTAACTTTAACATAGCAAAATTACATATAGGAAAACAGTTATCAAGCAAGAATTACAGTTACAATATTTTTATCTATTTTATCTTTTATCATAACAATGGAAAACTATATCTATGTATTCTTTAACTCCATCAAAGACTCCAGAAGAATACAATATTACCTAAGCAAACAAAAAGTAAGCAACTTTCAAAACTCTCGAAATGACAGAGACATCTCACTGTACAGTCACCCAAAGTTCCTCTGTACCGTTGGGGCATCCATCTTCAGCCTACAGGCCCATAGTTTCCAGCAGACATTTCCACAAAGCAGGAACTTTCAAAGGCAGTCACTATCTGCTTGTCCTGAAGAATGTCTTGCAGACTCTTTCATGAATCAGGAACCCCGAAAGATCATCTCACCTTTAGGCAAGTTCAGTAGTCCTCTCTCTGCGGGTTCTCTGTGTCTAGTTTATGCAATAGTCCAGGCAAGAGCAGTTTCTTGCCCAAATGGCTATCAATGCTATTTTGCCCTTGACTCAAGCGCATAGCCCGGCTAGCTCAATCAGTAGAGCATGGGACTCTTAATTCCAGGGTCGTGGGTTCGTGCCCCACATTGGGCGCCAAAATGTAACGGAGTAAGCGAATGCAGACAGATTGTCAAAATATATACAGCTTTAATGGAGAAATAGACTTACAGAACCACCGTTCCCACGGAGGCCAGGAAAACAAGCAGCGTCTGGGAGCACGCTCGCCAAATTTATAGGCTAACATTAGCCCAAGGCGAACATGCCCCCTAAGGGGCGGGACTTATCCCTACAGGACACTGTATTCTTTTAAACACTGCTTGGCCCATTTATATCTATCCTCTTCTAGGCTAATTCTCACATATTAATTTAGCCCATTTCTAATCATCTGTGTAGCACCACTAGGTGCGCTTACCGGGAAGATTCTAGCCTATGTCCATCCTGGGTCGGAGCTTCATCACATGTGTCTCAGAGAGCAGAACTATCGCGTCTCTCTGAGCTCACTTCCTCTTCCTCCCAGCATTCTGTTCTGTTTACTCCTCCCACCTATGTTTTAACCTATTAGGGCCAAGCAGTTTCTTTATTGCTTAACCAATGAAATCAACAGATTAATATGACACTCCTACATCAGACCTGAGTGATACTTTTCTAATCACTTCTTTGTTGTCTCTTTCATGTGATATAGTTCAAAATTTAAAGAGATATAAAAACTGGTTTCACGAAGGTAAGGGGGATAGCTATGAAGCCATGAGTAGGGAGAGAACAGATGCAGCGCCTGCTGTCATAGGTGCCTTGTGATGATACACTAGATTATTAGATGCAATATAGGCTCACGTGTCCACTTTTTTCTTTTAACACGAAAAGATGATTGTACCCATTCTAATTACATTCTAGAAGGAGGGAACCACTTTGTTTTTTCCTTTTCGCAAGTGTCTGTCATAAACCTGTATTTTTAAACTGCATGACAAGCAATTTGGTAGTTTATAAGCTGAGACTCAAATTCTTTGTTGATATAAACTCTGCTGTACAAATTAGCTATAAACTCAGGTGCTTCTGTCTCCATAGAAAGTATAGTAAACCAGCCTACTAGAGTGGACTTGGGTCTGCTCTACAATTGTTAGGGTTTCTGTTACTGTGAAGGAACATGGTGACCATGGCAATTTTTTTAATTCTATTTTAACTAACATTTTTTTTCATTTATTTTACATGCTGACCATTTCCCCTCCCTCTTCTCCCTCTCCACTCCCAGTCCCCCCTCCCCTCCCCATTCCCAATCCCCTACCCACCCTGCCCCACTCCCACCCCATCCACTCTTTCACTCATGCATGGGCTTGAACAAAAGCATGGCACATCAAGTTGATCTTGGTCCTCCCTCTTCATCAAGGCTGGGTGAGGTAGTCTAGTATGAGGAACAGGTTCCCAAAAGGACCACGGCAATTTTTATAAAGGAAAGCTTTAATTGGGGTGGCTAACTTATAGTTCAGGATTCAGCCCATTATCATCATGGTGAGAAATAGCATTGTGCAGACAGACATGGTGCTAGAGAGGGAGCTGAGACTCCTACATCTTGTAGGCAACAGAAAGTAGTCTCAAATATTGAGTGGCATCTTGAGCATATATGAGATCTCAAAGCCCATCCCCACAGTGACACTGTTCATTCAATAAGACCATACCTACTCCAACAAGGCCACATCTCCTAATAGTGCCACTATCTTTGGGGACTCTATGTATGAATGAATGAAAGTTCATATCTGTATTATATTAGATATATTAGATTTTATATAAAACTGTTGCAAGGAGGGGCTGGTTATTCGTCCCGGCCACCTGGCTAGCTTAGCCCTGAAATAACCACACAGAAACTGTTAATTGAATCACTGTTGGCCCATTAGCTCTAACTTCTTACTGGCTAATTCTTACATATTAATTTAACCCATTTCTATTAATCTGTATATAACCACAAGGTTGTGGCCTACCAGCAAAGTCTCAACACATCTTTCTCTGGCGGCGGGTCCATGGCGTCTCCCTGATTCTGCCTTCTTCCAGCATTCCATTTAATTTTTCCTGCCTAAGTTCTGCCCTATCAACAGGCCCAAAGCAGTTTCTTTATTAACCAATAAAAGCAACACAAAGACAGAAGGACCTCCTACGCTCATAAAAGAAAAGTGGATTTTTCAACCTGTAAATTTGTTATCTGGATTCTTACTAGCATAACTTTTATTAAGAGTTAGCTGTGGTAGTCATTGTGTGCTAAGCACGTTATAACGATCATTCCTTTACTCAACAATGCGGTGAGGGTAAGTACTGTTTTAACTTCATTTTATAGATGAGGAATGAAGGATTAGAGGAAATAGGATGTTCCTGTGATCACAGAGGCAGCAGGTCCAGGCTTTGCAACATGGTTTCAGGCTTAAAAGCCCTTGGTTAGATTCTTTTGCCATTTCCAAAACTTGTTTTTTGTTTGTTTTTGTCTTCTCTTTAGTAATTATGGTGGTTTCTAAATCAATGTGTAACACAGTCATTAAAATCGTGTTTTAAAGTTTCATGTTATTAACTGTTGTGGTGGGCACAGAACTCTGTAGGCTTCTATTTGTAGAAAAGTCTAAAATATGAGACTTATAAACTTCATTTTCACAATGTCCTTATGTGGTTTCTCCTTTTAAAGGTATTATTATGACGGGGACATGATTTGTAAAGTTCAAGGCAAGAGATTTGTATACAAATTTGTTTGTGACTTGAAGACTCTTATTGGATACAGTGCAGCAGAACTAAACCGCTTAGTCACAGAATGTGAACAGAAGAAACTTGCAAAGATGCAGCTCCATGGAATCGCCCAGCCAGTCACAGCCGTAGCCCTGGCTGCTGCCTCTCTACAAACAGAAAAGGACAATTGAGATCTAGGACCTCCTAGGAATCTAAGGCTTTTCTTAAATATTTAGAGCAAGCTTTGCTCTAACATTTATTATTGAATTTGAATCTTATTTCTAGACTGTACAATCTGATGCATGATTTTTTTATAAATATTTCATACTCTTGTGAATTTGGATCTTTTTACTTTGAGCATATATTTTAGAAAATGTGTTAAAGGATCTCCACGATGCCTGAAGTCTGAGAGCAGGTTCATCGTGGGGTAGTTTGCTAACAGTCAGGAAAGCTAAAATGGTCAGTATTAATGTCTAGCCCTACCAAAAACAGCCAGTAGCGTCTGAAGATGACAGTAAGGAAGTGTCTGTAGGAAACAGCCTGGTGTAACCGTTGCCAGAGTGAAGCTGTTTCCCCTCTGCTGCTTTACATAGAGCTGCCAAAAGGGAGTTCTCAGCTAAAGCATGTGTGCCTGTTTCATCTAATCAAGCAGAGCTAAGTGTTCATATAGAATAAAATTATATTGATAATTACTGAACTATCAGGTTATTAATTTATATATTTACGAGTAAAGAATAAGTTAACTGGCAGAAGAGCGTGTTAGATGAGACCGGTTTAAAGCCGGCTTAACTCAAGCCTTTACTAATGGTTCTCTGTATAGTTTATTACGTCAGGCCAAGGACTTAAATTATTTCGAGAAAGGCATTTAATTCTAATAAACCAGCTATTGCAAAAAAAAAAATTCCAAAATAATACCATTCTTTGGATTTTAAAAAGTATACCTCAGTAAGAAAATAAAAATTTGGTTTAGACTTCTTTTTTTTTTAAAACTAATCTATAGTATCAGATTATTGCGCAACACCATTTATGTATTTCTGTGTTTCTGATAAAATGAAGACTTTAGATCAGACAAAAGTACTTAACTTTGAAAATGTTAGTAAATTACTTGTGAATAGTTATAAATGGATTTGGCTTGGCGCTGTAGGAGATCTTTAAATAAACTTCCCCACTTGTTTCATTTGTTTTCCTTTTGAATATTTCATATGTGTCTCTAAAATATTATATAGATATGGCCAGCTAATCACTTTCTGCATGTATGAAGACATAAAGATATTCAAAAGGGATACTATTATTTCTAAAATCTTTAAATAAATCTTATAAGAGATGCCTTACTGCTTGCTAACACTAAGAAGAAAATGTTAGAAGAATCTTTTGTTTTAAAGTACTGTACATAAATCATGAGAGACTAGCAAATAGGTGTTCATAGCAGAAAGGTGTTCCTCAGAACAGTATAAAGGCTGCCTTATACACCTCTCATTTTATTCTTTCAATTCATGCCCAGAAATGACTTTAGAAGAACCCATTTGATGCTGGCTAGTAGGTAAAGCACCTGTGATTGCAGCCTGATCGGTATTGCTGAGACTAAGATGTGACTTGGAGTGTAAGGGACAAGAAAGAAGGATCGTTTACCTCCTACATCTTAATTTCCACTGCTGTGCTGTCAGACTTCAGCAAGTATTGTTTGCTTATATTAAGTCCTTTAAGATTCTACAGTAAGTACTTAAAAACAATTAAACTGTGTTTTTTTATTTTGTTTTTAATAAACAGAAAGCTGACAAATATCAGCACTACTTGATCCCCATGATTTTAAGAATATCTTGAGTAAGCTGGGCGATGGTGGCTCACGCCTTTAATCCCAGCACTCGGGAGGCAGAGGCAGGAGGATCTCTGTGAGTTCGAGACCAGCCTGGTCTACAGAGCTAGTTCCAGGACAGGGTCCAAAGCCACAGAGAAACCCTGTCTCGAAAAACCAAAAAAAAAAAAAAAAAAAAAAAGAATATCTTGAGTATAAAAATTATCTCAAGATCCTTACTTCAGATAACAAATTCGCAGCTGTAAAGAAGGCTTTTCCCATCTTTTTAAAGCCCAGGGAGCCAGAAGTCACTGTTTCAAAACAGGCTATTTCAATAGAACACTGAGAGTTTGAGAATCTTACAGTTAAAATGTTTCAGAGGCAGGATGTTAAGGATAGACGTTAATGTTTCATTTGTATAAATGTATGTTTTTAAGTAAAGGAACATCTGTATTTCTAGGTCCCTAAAATCTAATAAAGCATTTTCAAGTGCTTTTCAATACAAAACAAGCTACATTCTGTAGATTTTCTTTGTTTGGTAGATTTTGTTTTGGTGGTGATTTGAGCAGAGTTCTCAGTCGTAAGATGCTCATTTCCCCCTCTCTCCTATGCACTTTCACTCTGGAAATGAGAGGGTCTCTCCTTTACTCAAGCTTCATGTAGACAGAGAATATTTGTTGTCCTTACGAGGTCACGGTTTGCTAGTCTTTATTAAAAACAACTCATCTTGTGAAAGAAAATACTAATTTGTGGTATTCTTTGCTCAATTTTGTTACACATTTTTCATAGGATTTAAGATAGTCAAACTAAAAGAACCATCTTTTAAAGATGGACCATCTTTTGTACCTTGTAAGTTCAAGAATAATGAAATGTTTTTGTTTTAAAATAATTTTCAATTTGATGTTTACATTGAGATCATTTTATACATGTGCTAGCCTGAAGTCTGAACATTTGTGCTGGCATTGGAAAAGTCCAGCTAGCTAGGCAGAATTGCTGTGTGTGCTTGATCTCCACACGATGAATTAACTGATTACATTCATTTTGGTGTCAATCCATGTAAATAAATTAGGAAAAAATATTTAATTTTTCTCCCAGATAAAAGGTGATACTTGAGTGTGGTTATTTCTTTTAAGGAGTGTACCTCCAAATATTTTTGGCAAGTTCTGTCGTTTTCTGCATTTGCCATTTATGCTACTGCCTTTTATAAAGAACCTAGTGTATCCTTGAGATAGCACAAAAATGTTTTAAAAGTTTGTAACTGCAAAACAAACCTGTGTCTGACTTAATGTCCTCAATCTAAAGGCTATAAAAATGTTGGTATTTCAATACTTTACTTATTCCCAAGAAAATAATATTCTGTCTTTTGTAGAAGGGAGGAGAATTTTTGCATACATTTTTACTCTTTAAATAAAGAGACTTATACTATCATAATAACAATTATGTATTTCTTTGGTTTTTTTGTAATTTTACATAAAGCAGTTATTTTCTATTTTTACTCAGATAAAAATATTTGTGCATAAAATGTAAAAATAGTAAATGAGAAAAATAAAACTTATACAATAAATTCTTATGTTGAAAGGTTTTTTTTGCTTTTTGTTTTCTTCTGATAATTGAGATTCCTGGAATTTTTTTAGTTGGTTAAAAATCTTGACAGTCCACTTCTGACAAGTATACATGTGTTCCTCTGTATTTCTTTTGATTACTTAAAACCTATCAAAGTAGTGATTTCCAGGACCACCCCCCCCCCCCCCCCACACACAATACACAAAACAGAACAGGAATTTGGGGAGAACAGTTTCTGGTGAACTGTAGTTAGCTGGTCAAGGTACTTGGTAAAAAGAGTAATGTGTTTCCATCAGCAGAAGTAAGGCTTTAGAATAATAAAGTGACAGGTGAACCAGTAAGGTTGAACACAGGTCAGCAAGGCAAAGTAAGGGCTGAAGTGAGGACTCCGTGGCTAAAGGCACTGCTCTTGCAGAGGACCCAGATTTGACTCCCAGCACCTGTGGCCTGCTCAAGGCAGCCAAGCAATTGCTAGAGCCTCTTCCTCTGTATGCATGCACATATAGCCATAAACACATACATATCCATAGTTTAATCATGAACCTTTCCGAAAGTACTGTTCCTTAAAAATAATAATTGTTAAAGCTGTTATACTTTGTAGAAGGAGCTGCAGGCAGGCCTGCTTTTCATTCCACCCGGCTCCCACCTTAGCTCTGGAAATAATGACATGGAAACAATTCTTTTAAACACGGCCTGGCCCATTATATCTAGCCTCTTCTTGGCCAACTCTCATATCTTGATTAACCCATTTCTAATAATGTGTGTAGCACCACGAGATGATGGCTTACTGGAAAAGATTCTAGCCTACATCCACCTTGGGTCGGGGAATCGTGGCAACTGCCTCATTGCCTTCTTCCTCCCAGAATTCTGTTCTGTCTACTCCACCCACCTAAGGGCTAGCCTATCAAAAGACCAAGGCAGTTTCTTTATTAACCAATGAAATTAACACAGATGATCTTCCTACATCATTTCCCCATTATCTGTTTAAACAAAGGCATTCACTTTAACATAGTAAAATTACATATAACAGAACAGTTATCAAGCAAGAATTACAGTTACAATGTTTATTTTATCTTTTATCATAACAAAGGAAAACTATTCAACTCCATCAGACTCCAGAAGGATATAATATTACCTAATTAAACAAGAAATAAGCAACTTCCAAACTCTAGAAATGACGGAGACATCTCACTGCCTGGACAGTCACCCAAAGTTCCCCTGTACCGTTGGGGCATCTGTCTTCAGCCTACAGGCCCATAGTATCCAGCAGACATTTCCATGAAGCAGGAAATTTCAAAGACAGTTCAGTCACTATTCTGCTATGTCCTGCAGAATGTCTCACAGACTCTTTCATGAGTCAGGAACCCCAAAGAATCATCTCACCTTTAAGCAAGTTCAGCAGTCCTCTCTCTGCGGGTTCTCTGTGTCCAGTTTATGCAATAGTCCAGGCAAGAGCAGTTTCTTGTCCAAATGGCTACCAAACTCCATAAGGTGCCTCTTCGATGCCCATCTTCCTCTTGAAGTAGGTTGAGACGTGTCTCATTGTTATGAAAAGCCCTAAATTATTAAAACATTAAATGCCATATTCTGTAGTCTTTGAAAGATACGAAGAATGCTTATCTGAAATATATCTATGCACATCTAGAAAATCTAACTAAAATAACTACAAGCTTGACTATTAATGATTATCCATTCACAACCTATATACATTACATTTTTACAAGAACTACACAATCACAATACCTTAATATCAGAAATACATATGCATATAACAAGATTGATCTTAAACTTATATCAATAAAGCAAAACATACCAATGTAAATTATCCATATCAATATCATATCCCCCTTTAAATGTAAAAGAACATTTATAAACCATATTTGGGAATATGGGTGCAGTTATTTCTCTCCAAACTGCTTCGTGCTGAATGGGGGTGCTGTTATTCAGGTCTTTCATGGTATAACCTGTGTGCTGTATTCATCTCAGTCAGCAGTTGAGTGAAGTAATTTTTTTGAAGGTGTTCACAGCAACCTTTCAGGAGGGCGTGGTCCATCATACCATATTGGGATAGAAGCAATCCACAGACTCTCACCCTCTGTGAAAACAAGAACTTTCCCAAAGCATCATAACCTTATATCCAAATTTTGAAGTCAAGGTATTTTCAAAATATCTATCTTGGATTAATTCAGCAGCATTTATAAACAAATATCTTTTAGCAGCTGTTGCTCCTTCCTCAGCATTCAAACAATTCAAAGAGAGCATAATAGTATACAGTATCAAGATTCTCTGTGTATTTTCCATCTTTGTGCAGCTTTATTTTAACCTCTTTCTTTTATTTTTTACCTTTATTTTTTGTGACAGGTTCTCTGTATATCTTTGTCCTAGAATAACTCTGTAGACCAGGCTGTGCTTGAACTCTCAGAGATCCTTCTTTCTGCCTCCCAGGCATTGGGATTAAAGGTGTGTTCTGTCACACCTTGAGGTCACAGAGGTCAATCTACCTCTGCCTCCCAAGTGTTGGGGTTAAAGGTGTGTACCAGCACACCCAACTACTCTCTTTTTTTAAGAACTTTACCTTTTTGATTTTCTCTCCCAAGCCAGCATATATTTTTAACACACAGTAAACCATTTAGAGGGTTTTTTCTCTTTGAATCTCTCTTTACTGTATATCTCTCTCTTTCTGACTACATGAGTCTTTAAGGAGAGTGTTAAAGCCATGGCTTTGACGGCTGGATCCAGCCCATTCCTTAGCTTTCCAGCCTCATGGCAGAGGTACTGCTGGAGCCATTTTTATTGCCACAACTTTGGGGCATTTCAAGGTCCCTGCTAGCAAGCAAGCTGCAGCACTGCACTCAGAAACCACACTCAAACACTCTGTAGTCAGATCACCTGCCTGAAAGAGTCAGAGTTTGCCCTGGCAGGACAAACCAGAACGCCAGCATTTTAAAACAGCACAACTTTTTTCCTGCTACGGCTGAAAACAAACAAGCATTCAGTCAGCTTTTATCAATACCATTTAAGTGTTTTGTGGCAGGACCTCTTAAGAGCTGCAGGGTTTTGCAGCTAAAGCTGAGTCAGGAAGCCTCTCTTAGATGAGAGCACTTGCTTGCTTCTAGCAAGCAGAGCAGACCCAAGAAATTGCTGCTACCAAGAAAACATGCTTTACTCTATTCTTTCCCAAGCTTTTCCAGGCTTTCTGTGGCACGTCTGGGCACCATTTGTAGAAGGAGCTGCAGGCAGGCCTGCTTTTCATCCTGCCCAGCTCCCACACGGCTAGCTTATGCCCCGAAATAACAACACATAAATTGTATTCATTTAAACACTGCATGGCCCATTATATCTTGCCTCTTCTTGGCTAACTCTCATATCTTGCTTAATCCATTTCTAATAATCTGTGTAGCACCATGAGGTGGTGTCTTACCGGGAAAGATTCAGTTATGTCTGACCTGGCAGCTGGTTCCATTGCGTCTGACCAGAGAGGCGAGGCATGGCGATTGCCTCACTTCCTCCCAGCATTCTGTTCTATTTACTCTGCCTACCTAATTTTCTGTCCTATCAAAGGGCCAAGGCAGTTTCTTTATTAACCAATGAAATCAACTCAAAACAGAAGACCCTCCCACATCAGAATTCTCCTTCTAGTACTTTCTGTAGGTCTGGGTTTGTGGCTAAGTATTGTTTAAATCTGGTTTTGTCATGGAATATCTTGTTTTCTCCATTGATGGTAGTTGAAAACTTTATTGGGCATAGTAGTCTGATCTCGCATCCATGGTCTCTTAGTGTCTGTAAGACATCTGTCCATGACCTTCTGGCTTCATGGTTTCCATTGAAAAGTTGGGTGTGATTCTGATAGGTTTGCCTTTATCTGTTTCTTGGCCCTTTTCCTTTACAGCTCTTAATATTCTTTCTTTATTCCATATGTTTAGCATTTTGATTATTACATGGTGAGGGGACTTTTTTTTTTTTTTTTTACCCATCCTATTTGGTGTTCTTTAAGCTTCTTTTGTACCTTCATAGGGATAACCTTCTTTGGGCTGTCTGGTTGTCCCGCCTATACTTACTGCCTGGCTTCTGGCCAATCAGCATTTATTTAAAACATAATTGACAGAATACAGAATTGTCCCACACCAGTTCTCATTTGTTTACCCAGATTTTTCATTTCCAGAATGCCTTCAGTTTGTCTTATCTTTATTGACTTTATGTCAGTCTTCAAGTCTTGAACTGTTTGAACTTTTTGCTTCACCTGTTTGATTTTTTTTTTTTTTTGGTTTTCTTGAGTTTCTTTAAGAGATTTATTGATTTCTTCTAATTTTTTTGTTTGTCTCTTTCTCTATTACTTTAAAGAAAAATTTTTCGTTTCCTCTCTAAAGGTCTTCATCATCTTCATAAAGTTACATTTAAAATCATTTCTTATGCTTCTTTTGGTTTAGGATGATCAAGTTTTCCTGTTGTATTACCACTGGGTTCTGGTGTTACCATGTTGTTTTTTGGGTTGTTTAATGAATTCCTGCATTGGCACCTACCTATCTCTTGCTCCAATATGTGCCAGCAGTGTCTTTGTCGCTTGGTCCAATCCTTGCTGTTGCTGTCTACATCTTTGGAAACTGTTTTTGGTCTGCTCTGTACTGTTGTCTGTTTTTCAGGGAGCTGCTGAGATCTCTCTTGTTCTGCTATCTTGGTTCGCTCTCTTGGTCTACTCTGTGCTTTCATAGCCTGTGCTACAGAGTTCCTTTCAGGTTTATTTGAGCAAAACAACTCCCAGGTGAGATCTCCAGTGCCAGAGACCAGTGCTAGAAGTCACACGCCCAAACTATATATCCTGTAGGTGAGGAGTAATAATGTGTTTGCCACAAACTGGATGTGTGCCCAAGTGTGGTCAAAAGCAGAATGCTTGGGTAGGACTTGGGCTGTTTGCAACTTCAGGGGAGGAGCTACCGTAGCTGCTAAGAATGCAGAACTTGGCTTTTGGGTGCCGAACTGAGCTTTTTGGTACCTTTTCTTGGTTGGAGATTATCTGAGAAG